TCCCCATCCCCACCTCCATCCCCACCACTATTCTCCTCTCTTTAGATCCCTGTGATGTCGAATGACACCAGGTGAGTCATGTCGGTGGTTCTCATGTGGAGTAGTTTTGTCCCCAGGAGACATTTGGTAATATTGGGAGACACGGTGTCCTTACAGATGGGCACCATTGCTGAGTTGAGCCCAGGGACATCATTAAACATCCTCCAATGCACAGGACCGTCCCCTACTGTCATAAGAATGAGCTGATCCAGGATGTCAATAGAGAGACCCGACCCATGCGCATGCCCTCCATCCACAGGAGCATCCAGCTACGCCATGTGCCCCTGTTGTCCCGGAGCTCAGCAGCGGGGCCTCAGCCAAGAGCAGGCTGCGGGGGTGAGCATCTCCACTTCCTAAGGAGCAACTTGGCTGTGGATTTTCCTGGGGGCAGAATCCGAGCCAAGACGTGTGCTCCGTGGGCCCTGGCTGATCTGGGAGCCCATGGAAGGAGTCGTGGCCCAGTGCCTGAACGGGCAGTTCCCACCCGTGCACGGGGCTCCGTCCTGCAGGAATTTGGGAGGTGGAGAGGACACAGCTGGGGAGGGGGCGCTGGGGTCTCACCCTCCCACTCCATCCCTGGCTGGGTGAGGGATGCTGCCCGATTCCCGAGTCCCCAGCACTCTGACTGGGGTGGTTCCAGAGAAGGCCTCAGGAGGTGACAGGGACAGGGACATCACTAGGAGGTCATCATGGGACATGGTGGCCAGGTCTACAGGGCTTGGAAGGGCAGCAGTGGCCTCGTTTACCACCATTCAGGCTTCTCTTCAGTGACAGCCTCCCCGTCACTAGCTTCCGTAGGGGAAGCTGGAGAATTGGCTGGTCCACTGAAGGGACAGGCTGCTGGGCTAGATCCACGTCCCCCGGGTCTAGCTGAGCACCCAGTGTGGACAGCCAACACAAAGTCCTCTCCAAAGGTCTCCAGCAGGAGGCCGGGTCCCCCTGACCACCCCACAGCAGAGGGAAAAGCCCCAGCGCCCCATCTCTCAGACTAACAGTCGGTCAAGAGAGCGCCTGTCCCCTCCCTGGGAAGAGAGCAGCCGCCGTCCTCGTGTCCAGCTGGAGAACCCTGCCCAGGAGGGGGGTTCTAAAGGCGAGTCACACTTGCAGTCACACCATTATCAGACTCAGTGGCACTTAGAGTGGCCAGAAGATCTAGAGAAACGCAGCGCTGTCCCCCAGAAGGAAGGGACAGCGCACACCCAGCGGCCGCAGGGGGAGGCGCTGGGCTCTGCTGTTGGCTTCTGCACCCGCCTTTCCCACAGGGCACTCACCACGGAGCCCCGTCCCCAGCCCTAAGTTGTGTTCTATTTAGAGACAGGGTCTCACTGAGCTGCTCAGGGCCTCCCTTTTGCTGAGGCTGGCTTGGAACTCACCATCCTCCTGCCTCAGCCTCCCCAGCCCCTGGGATGACAGATGTGCACCAC